TGTTTTTTCCCCCTTCCCCTCCCCCATAGTCTTCTGTTAAGTTTCTCAAGATCCACATATGAGTGAAAACATATGGTATCTGTCTTTCTCTGACTGACTTATTTCACTTAGCATAATACCTTCCAGTTCCATATTCACGGAAAATTGCAAAATATAGTACAGAGTTCCCTGTATGCTTCACTCAATTCCTCCTCAGTGGTTACACCTTCTGTAACTACAGTATAATATCAAAACCAAGAAATTAATTATGAAAATCCATAGACCTCAGGTTTTACTAGTTTTACATGGATTTCTGTGTGTGTGTGTGTGTGTGTGTGTGTGTGTGTGTGTGGTTTTATGCCATTCTATTACATAGGCAGATTTTCATAAGCACTGCTACAATCAAGGCTCAGAACAGTTCTATCACTGCAAGGTGTTTTACAACCACTAATCTGTTTCTCATCTCTTTAATGTTATTATTTTGGGAATGTATTAATAGCATCATACAGCATGCAATCATTGGGGATTGGCTTTTTTTTAATCTTTTAAAATTTTGTTTATTTTTGAGAGAGAAAGAGACAGAGCATGGGCGGGGAAGGGGCAGAGAGAGAGAGGGAAACACAGAATCCAAAGCAGGCTCCAGGCTTTCAGCCGTCACCACACAGGGCTCGAACCCACAAACTATGAGATCATGACCTGAGCTGAATGAGGCACCCAGGTGCCCCTCAATGACATTGAATTTTAATGACAACAGAACAGGGGTGCCTGGGTGCCTCAGTCAGTTAAGCGCCCAACTTCAGCTCAGGTCATGATCTCACGGTTGGTGGGTTCAAGGCCCGCATCGGGCTCTGTGCTGACAGTTCATAGCCTCGAGCCTGCTTCAGATTCTGTGTCTCCCTCTCTCTCTGCCCCTCCCCTGCTCATTCTCTCTCTCTCTCTCTCTCTCTCTCTCTCTCTGAAAAATAAATAAACATTAAAAAAATTGTTTTTATTTTTTTTCACTGCAATTTTATTTTTTTTATTTTTTTTCAATATATGAGATTTATTGTCAAACTGGTTTCCATACAGCACCCAGTGCTCATCCCAAAAGGTGCCCTCCTCAATACCCATCACCCACCCTCTCCTCCCTCCCACCCCCCCATCAACCCTCAGTTTGTTCTCAGTTTTTAAGATTCTCTTATGCTTTGGCTCTCTCCCACTCTAACCTCTTTTTTTTTTTTTTCCTTCCCCTCCCCCATGGGTTTCTGTTAAGTTTCTCAGGATCCACATAAGAGTGAAACCATATGGTATCTGTCTTTCTCTGTATGGCTTATTTCACTTAGCATCACACTCTCCAGTTCCATCCACGTTGCTACAAAGGGCCATATTTCGTTCTTTCTCATTGCCATGTAGTACTCCATTGTGTATATAAACCACAATTTCTTTATCCTTTCATCAGTTGATGGACATTTAGGCTCTTTCCATAATTTGGCTATTGTTGAGAGTGCTGCTATACACATTGGGGTCCAAGTGCCCCTATGCATCAGTACTCCTGTATCCCTTGGGTAAATTCCTAGCAGTGCTATTGCTGGGTCATAGGGTAGGTCTATTTTTAATTTTCTGAGGAACCTCCACACTGTTTTGCAGAGTGGCTGCACCAGTTTGCATTCCCACCAACAGTGCAAGAGGGTTCCCGTTTCTCCACATCCTCTCCAGCATCTATAGTCTCCTGATTTGTTCATTTTGGCCACTCTGACTGGAATGAGGTGATATCTGAGTGTGGTGTTGATTTGTATTTCCCTGATGAGGAGCGACGTTGAGCATCTTTTCATGTGCCTGTTGGCCATCTGGATGCCTTCTTTAGAGAAGTGTCTATTCATGTTTTCTGCCCATTTCTTCACTGGGTTATTTGTTTTTCGGGTGTGGAGTTTGGTGAGCTCTTTATAGATTTTGGATACTAGCCCTTTGTCCGATATGTCATTTGCAAATATCTTTTCCCATTCCGTTGGTTGCCTTTTAGTTTTGTTGGTTGTTTCCTTTGCTGTGCAGAAGCTTTTTATCTTCATAAGGTCCCAGTAATTCCTTTAAAAAAATTGTTTTTAAAGACAACTGAAAGAAGCTGGTTTTGCCTGCTTGCTTTAAATATACTTTTGAATGAGGATATACTTGAGAGGACTTATTTATAAAATAAGTCTTATTAAATGAGTTAATTGGGGGAAAAATTGTTAGCTGACAAATTGTTCCTCAGGCAAATTTTCAAACGTGGCATTGAAGGCTGAACCTGCCTGGGAGGGTCTTCAAAGGTGCCCTGGTAGGAGAAAGAAGCTGGCTGGAGCCAAGACAGTCTTAGGGTCCTTAGTTCTTGGTTCATCACCTGGTCTCAGGTTCGTTCAACCCAGCCTAGGGGTTTTGAGGGATTTGGGCGTTGAGCAAAGAAAAAGATATGACCAGTAGATGGCAGTAGCGCACACAAACGTGGGTGGGCAGCACGGGTTTGCCGGCCTGGGACGAACCTCCCAGAGGACATCTTTAAGAGGTTAGGGCATGAGGATCCCTCCTCAAAAGGGGAGCAGGGCAAGGGAACTCCCAAGGGAGGAGAGTGGTCAGAGAAGGCGTTCTCAGTCTACCTCACGTCACTCAGCAGCCTGGTGGGGAGTCTCTGGGTTAGATAGCTCTGATGGGCAGCTAGTGGCTTGGCCCTTTGTAGCCACAGGGTTGGTCTTTTTACAGCTCTAAGTTGTTGGGTGCAGTTTCATGGGGGTGCGCGAAGCAGGCAGGCTCAAAGTGGCTGAAATCTGCCTGTTTGGGCTATGTTTAAAACAATTGGATATGAAAAATCTGAGTTTGGTCCTAGCAAGCTTTTGCGCTCATGGGTTCCCAGACTGCTGTGAAGAAGTAAATACCCTAGGAGCTAATGGGGGAAGGGAAGAGGGAAAAAAAAAGTAGTTACAGAGAGGGAGGGAGGCAAACCATAAGAGACTCTTAAATACAGAGAACAAACTGAGGGTTGAGGAGGGGTGGGGGAGAGGGGAGAATGGGTGACGGGCATTGAGGAGGGCACTTGTTGCGATGAGCACTGGGTGTTGTATGGAAGCCAATTTGACAATAAATTATATTTTTAAAAAAAGGTCTATAGGGCAGCAAATAAGTGACCGTGGTCAATAAAAGGGGAAAGAACAAATACCCTAGTTGCTGACAGGCAGGCACCAGCTCTGGCTCATTAGGAAACGCCCAGACACCACCATCTTCAGTTTCCGTAGGTGGCCAAAGCCGGGACCACATGAAATAGAACATACCACTGCCTCCGCTCCCTACCCCCACCCCATCCCCAGCCTCAGATGAACAGAGAACGATACCCAAAAACATCCCAGGTGAGGGTAGTCTCTCCCTGGCATCTCTGAGATGATAGAGTCCTCTGAGCAGGCTAGGGTCGTGTGTCCCAGTGGCCCATTGCCTTACAGCTGGTCCAGACCCGACTCAGTGCATAGCCCCTTCTCCTCCTTCCCCACTGCAGCTGCTGGTCCTGCCCCAGTGCCCTTCACCCTGAACTTTACCATCATCAACCTGCACTACACGAAGGACATGCAGCCGAGCTCGGCAAAGTTTAACTCCACAGAGTCAGCTCTACAACGCCTGGTGAGAACCCCCTGAAACGCATCCCTCTCTTCCCACGTCCTCCCCACCCTCTTTTAGTCTCCTTCCTATACTTCTGGAGGATACGGACGGCTGGAGGGGAAGACAGTTTCTAGGTTCAAAACTTGGATCTGCCATGGAGAAGTGATGTGCCTTCGGAGTAGTGATCTTGCCTTCTGGTACCATTTCCTCCTCTGTAAAACTAAGATCATAAAAGCATTGATCCCAAAGGGTTCTTCTGAGAATTAAGTGTTGTATCGAGATGACTGGGGAGCTGCTGTTTTATTTTTGAATATGGTGTTTTAAAATGACGGTTGCTTTTACGTCTATTTTTCATTCACCCTCTCCCTCCTTCCTAGCTCAAGCCCTTGTTTGCCAACAGCAGCATTGGTCCGCTCTACATTGGCTGCAGAGTGACCACACTAAGGTGAGACCTCTTCTTTTTTTTTTTTTTTTTTTAATTTTTAAAAACATTGTTTTAATGTTTATTTTTGAGAGGGACAGGGACAGAATGCGAGTGGGTTAGGGGCAGAGAGAGGGAGACACAGTATCCGAAGCAGGCTCCAGGCTCCGATCTGTCAGCACAGAGCCCCATATGGGGCTCGAACCCACGAACTGTGAGATCATGACCTGAGCCGAAGTCGGACTGAGCCACCCAGGCGCCCCTGAGACCACTTCTTTGTCTTGCCTTAGGAGGCATAGTAAGGGATGGGCTGGTTGGACTGGCCAGGGCCTGGCCTGGGGAGGGAAGTAGGTGCCGAGGGCACAAAGTTTAAGGAGGTGCTCCCCCTCAGGTGCTCACCCTGTGTCTGCACAGCCCCTGAGAGCAAGCACTCCCTTAAATGTTGCATCCAGGCACCTTGCGTGCCTCACACAGTTCCCAGCTCTGGTGCCAGCTCTCTCTAGGTCATCTTAAATCCAATCCAATCATCAAAGTTGCAAGATCCAAACAGGTCACACTCAGACAAGAAATGGCATGCCAGCACGGCAAGCATCGGACGTTTCTTTTTTCTAAGAACCTTCTTAGAAGTCCAAGGACTATTCTTTTGGAATCCAGATGACGGTTAATGTGCAAAGAAACGTAACTTCAGTGGATGGGAGATGGGGCCACTCTGGCTTACATGTTCCATGTCCCAAAAGGTAACCAGTATCTCTTGTAACAGTCCTGACCCGTTAAGAGGTTTACCACGCCTAAGGAAGCCCAAAGCGGTAGCTTCCCGTCAGGTACTGTTGTCCATTTTCGGCCCTCCCAGAAAAGATGCAGGCCGTCAACAAGGGGTCATTTTCACCATAAGCAGCGTCACCGGGAAACACGAGTGACATTGCACCTTTATCAAGCTTCTAGGAGACCAGAGCTAGAAGCAGCTTGGCTCCAGGTCGCTTCCATCCTGTTGAGGTGCAAGGGATACTCTGTCCCTCCCCAGTAATCTGGCAGTGCTACCTGTCCTTCAGGGTTAATTTTTCCTGCTTCCTTTGCCGGGGAGCTGGGAATACAAGAAGCAGGTGGACGGTGGGTAGGGGGTCTTTGCTAGGCAGCATCTCATGCTCAGATGCTCAGGTCCAAAAGTTGGGTTGGATCAACTGCTCAGAGCAGAATCCAGTGCTCAGAGCTGCTATCCAGTGCTAGGGGCTGTAAATGCTTGGTTCTATGAATATTTGTTAAACAATTAAACAATTAATTAAAGAGGATCTGGCACCAAAGCTAGATATTAGTATCATTTCCAAACCCCATGACATTCTGAAATGATATTTTTTAATGTTTTTATTTATTTTTGAGAGAGACAGAGAGAGAGAGAGAGAGAGAGAGAGAGAGAGCCCAAGTGGAGGGGCAGAGAGAGAGGGAGACCCAGAATTTGAAGCAGGCTCCAGGCTCCAAGCTGTGAGCACAGAGCCCGATGCGGGACTTGAACTCATGAACCATGAGATCATGATCTGAGCGGAAGGTGAGTGCTTAACCAACTGAGCCTCCCAGGTACCCCCCAAACACCATGACATTCTAACAAAAGGGTTAGAGCATTATCCACACTGCAAAGATGGGAGAACCGAGTTAGACCCACTTATGTGGATTATTCAACAAGTGACGGAGCCAAGGTTTGAACCGATGGTCATCTGACTCTAAAACACCCACGCTGGTCCTTTGTTGTGTAAAGATGCCCCTCCTCTTATGAGCAGCTCCTGTCTGGACAACAAAAAACAGGGAAGCAAGCATTCACATGCAAGCGGGCTGACAGAATGATGTCCTGCCCGGGATGCCGCTGTGTCCCATAGCCATGCCCAGGTCCTTCTCTCCCCAGGCCTGAAAGGGGTGGAACAGCCACTGGAGTTGACGCTGTCTGCACCTACCGACCTGGCCCTTCGGGTCTCCAGCTGGACAGGGAGCGCCTCTACTGGGAACTGAGCCGCCAGACCCACGGTGTCACCCAGCTCGGTTCCTACATCCTGGACAGGGACCGTCTCTTTGTCAACGGTGAGCATCTGGTGGTAACAGGGGTCTCCTCCTATACCCCAGATGGATTATTCTGTTGGTGCCCTGAGCTCTGGACAGAGGATACTTCCCTGTCTGCCTCTAGACGCTTTTGTCCTCATTCTTCTTTTCCTTGTGAGATCCTCCTTCCCCACCAAGGGCTACGTCACACACAGGGAGGCGGAGAGTCACAGAAAGGTTATAGGAGGCACTACCCACTGTCTGGAAGGGACAAGACCTCCTGATGGAATCTGTCCTTCCAGCAGTGGCCCAGCCCCTTCATCCTTTGCTTAAACTTTTCAAACATCCCACTCTCTCTTATCCACTCTCTGCAGGTTACACCAGACCACCACTGACCCCCATCCCCAGTGGTAAGTGCTCAAACCCTACATGGCTCTAGGCCCCCACACCTTGTGGGAACAGCTGCTCCCTCTACCCTAGCCCAGGGCCTCATGGAGGAAGGAAGCCTTGAGGGGCCTGGTCACCCCCATACCCCTACCTCTACCTTCTGTGACTCGGGCTGGGTATCAAGGGCCCCTGTCTTCGGCATCTCCAAGGTTATAAGGCTGCATCCTTCTTATTTATGCTGTTTGCTTCTCAGTTCCTGTGAGTTCTACACCCTCAGGAACCTCAGTAGCTCCAGTCTCCTTCTCCAGCTCTACAGGTAAGAGCCTTTTCTCCATGTCTCCTTCCTTCCCACCCACGTGCCTCTGTGCTTAGCAAGGAGAAGGGCAAAAGGTATGTGCAGGCAGGTCACAACAAGGGGACAGTGTGGGGAGGATGATTTTGGGGGACCATGCCTTTGTAACAGACCAGTCCAACTCCATCCCTAGGTCTGGATAGCTCTGTAACTCTGGGTTTTCAATCCCAGGCTAAAGCAGTGACGCCTTTTAATCCCCTCTGCTTTCTGTGAAGGTGTTGTATCAGCTAGGTTTTACTGCATAACAAATGACCCTCAAATTTACTGGATTAAAACAATCACATGCTGCTCTGCTCTCTAGTATATAGGTCAGCTGGACAGTTCCTTGGGTCTGAACCAGGCTCCCTTATGTGTCTGTAGTCACCTGCCCGTAAGCTAGGTGACTCTGCTTCTGGAAGGTAACTGACGCATGGCTGGGGTGCCTCAGTTCCCTTCATGTGGCCTCTCATCATCCCATAGACTAGCTGTGGCTTCCTCATATGGTGATCACAGACTTCCTAGAAGCAAGAGAGGCCATCCCATTGGCCAAAGCAAGTCACGGCCAAAAGTCAAGAAGTAGGCTCTTGGCAGAAGGGCTGCCACACCACACTGCAAGGGTGTAGAATCTGTGGTCACTTTTACAATCTGCCTCAGGTGACCTGCCAGGGACCAACCTGTGACCGTGTTGGCCTTAGGGGACCCATGGGGGGTCGGTTAGTGAGATTAGATGCAGTGGTACATTCTGGAACAACTCTCAAAGCTTTACCTCCTGCTAGAGTAGAATGGAAATAGTCATGGGCAAATCCAGGACTAATTCCCAAAGGGCAGAGACAAAAGCAGAGAAAGCAGATGTAAGTAGCAACAGCAACCATGTCTACAAAGCAGTGACAGCACCATTCACAGCTCGTTTGTCACATCGTGCAGACTCTGCTTTACGTGTATGATCTTCGACCCCAGCGGATGGACGCTGCTCTTTCTCTGTTTGAGAGAGGCATAGACTGGTTCTTGCGGGGCTGAGTGTTTTTCTGAGGTCACACAACCAGCAGATGGGCAGGACTCATGTTTAAGTCATTCAAGCTCTAGAATTTGGGCGTCTGTCCCAAAATAGCTGTGTGGCTTTGGGGAAGTGACTTAACTTCTCTGAAACTTGTTTTCATCCTCTGTCAACTGGGACTAAGTAAAAGGATTCACTTCCAGGGTTTGTTTGAGGACTACACAAGATACTGGATGGAAAGTTCTGAGCATAGAGGAAGCTCTTACCAAACATCAGCTCTCATGATTGCTGTTATTTTTGTTGTGATTATCAACATCATTACTATTAGTAGAATAACAAAATAAAGTCTCCCATTTGGGGAGGAGATGTTCTGAGCTCTTGAACTAGATGTGAATATACTGGGCACCAGGGATGTGGATCCAGGCTCTACCCCACCATCCCTAAACCCAGCTTAGACAGTGGCTCAGGGCATGACTTTTCTCCCAACCTCACTGCAGTCTCCGGCCCTGACCTGGTTCCATTCACCCTCAACTTCACCATCACCAACCTGCGCTACACAGAGAGCATGCAGTTTATGGGGTCAGCCAAGTTCAACGAAATAGAGAAGGTCTTGCAGAGCCTGGTGAGAGCCCCGCCCACCTCATTCCTGTACCACTTGCTGATGCCCACCTGCCCACTGACCCCAGCCCCACCTACCTCTCCCATGTCCCGCCTACCTCCCTCGTGCCCCACCCACCTCTCCCTGTCCCCCAATGGCTGCCGTCCCCACCCAGCTTGCCCCAACCCTGCCCTCGTCAAGCTCAGACCTTCCGCTCACCTCCCTCTCCTTCAACAGCTCAGACCCTTATTCAAGAACACCAGTGTCGGCCCCCTCTACTCTGGCTGCAGACTGACCTCGCTCAGGTGGGACCCCCAGAGAAGATGGCCCAGTGAGGCACAGTGCAGATTCTTACCACGGTCCTCCAGGGCTCACTCCTCACTTTGGCCTCAGCCCTTTCCAGCTCCCAACCTGGGGTAACCACTGTCCCTTGGGCTGCGGGCCCCCAGGCCCTGCTCCAGACCTTTCCATCCTCCTGAGTCTCAAATCTCCCATGCAATATTTAATGGGAACAAAATGACAAATCATAGCAGCTGGAAAGTTGCTGGAACCGAATTCCTTCATAAAGGACCCATCCCTGATCCTTCACAAAGGCTATGATCCCCAGTCTACCATGTCCACACTACATGCAAATATTTCTGAAGGCTGACACACAGCAAATACTTAGTCAGACATTGGAGTTCTTGGTGTATGGTCACTACTGACATTCTGGGCCAGAGAGTCCTTGTCATGGCTGGCTGTCCTCTGCACTGTAGGCTAGTTAGCAGCATCTTGACTACTCGATAGATGCCTATAGTATCCCCACCCCAAAGTAGTGACGACCAAATCTGTCACCAGGCATTGCCAAATGGCTCCTGATCCAGAGCGCCCCAGGTTAGAGTCACTGGGCGAGATGCTTCCTGTCCATCATCTCCCTGGACTCTCTTAATGTCACTACTGTTACCCCTATTTTATAGATGGGAAATCATCAAGGCACAAAAAAGCTAAGGAGCCTTCTCAGAGCCAGTGGCTGTCAAGCGGTGGGGCCAGGACTCAAGCCCAGCCTCCTCAGAGTCCATACCTGTTCCCACTAAGCTTGCTTTGCTTCTTTTCTTTGGGAAGAACCATGGGTTCCCTTCCCTTCCCCATAATCCCCGCCTTCAATTCCCTGCTCCCTTCCAGTGCAGACATGTGCAACTCAGCCGCCTTTCACCGAGTGATGGGGCTTCTGAGCATGAGGGGGCCCTCTCCATTCCGAGGTCCCCTGGAGGGTTCAGCCTTGGTGGGCATCTCCCCAGGATATCTCCATGGCTCCAAAAATAGAATTTGAGAAAGGATTCCCTCCCTGCGGTGCTAGGATAGAGCAGGATGGAATGAGGCCCTCTTTCTTGGGGTCTAGCCCAGGGTACTGATGCACCCACAGCAGAAGTGCCCTCCTACCACTGCCCTGGCGTTCTACAAATTTTCTTTGCATTCACAAGCATTGCTTGAGCATGTACTGTGTCCAAGCTCCATGCTGAGCTCTGAAATCTCCATGGAGGCCAAAGCATTGACTCTGCCATCAAAAAGAGGGTACCACATTAATTATATGCAAACACATGCAAACGTATGCACAGAAATTAATTATATGTAATTATTATATGTGAATTATGTGATTAATGATATAAAAACACATAACTTAATGGTGAATAAGACAATAGTGGCAGATACTCCCCTAGCACTTAGGGATGTACCAGATACCGTTGTAAGCATTATACTTACATCAACAGACTTAATCCTCACGAAACATACCTGGGTACCATGATTACACCCATTTTATAGATGAGAAACTGAGGCCCGGAGAGACTGTTGCGGTGCCGAGAGGATGGGAAGTGTAGTGGGTCTAGGAGGAACTGAAGTGGCAGCTCGTACCTGGAGAGGAGGACTCGGTGGCCAGGAGACATGGCTCCGGGCCAGGAGGAGTGGTTGAGGGAGAGGGAGCCACAGCTGAGAGCCTAAGGTAGCCAGCATGCAGAGCAGACATTCTCACCCACAAGGGGGGAGGCGCGGGGTGGCCGTGAATGCCGTGATGTGCATGTTGGGACAGCACAGTGGGGCTTCATCCACAGGCAGTAGGGAGCCGGAAGGATTTCAGCAGATTCCCAACAAAGGCAGATTCCCATTTTAAGTGAGACTCGGCAGTGTGACGATGGTGCATCATAAAACACAGAGGGGCCCGGTCTCAGGAGGCGGCCCCGGAAGGAACCATTTTCAGCATGTGGAGCAAATTCCCTCAGTGGTGGATGACGAGCATCTCGGGGCCTGTCGACAGGAACCGCACCGCTTCCTGGCTTTCCCCCTGGTGTCCCCATAATGGTAGCCCTCAGGGGCCCTCTGCAGATGGACCTTAACCTTCTGCACCGCTGTGTCCTGCCCTCCCCAGGCCCGAGAAGGCTGGAGCAGCCACGAGGGTGAACACAATCTGCTCCTACCGCCCCGACCCTGCGGGCCGCGGGTTGGATAGAGAGAAGCTGTACTGGGAGCTGAGCCGGCTGACCCGTGGTATCACCTGGCTGGGCCCCTACACCCTGGAGCAGGACAGTCTCTGTGTCAGTGGTGAGTATCGGCCACCTGCCCTTGGCTGAGCTGTCAAGCTCACGTTTCCCCCCCACCCCAACCCCCCGGGGCTTCTTTAGTCCTGCTCCACCTCAACACCTCCCCTCTCTCTCCCCCTCTCTCCACAGGCTACACCCACCAGACACCAGTAACCGCCCCCAGTGGTGAGTACTCAGGGGACTTCAGGAGCTCCCCCGCCACCACCAGGGAAGGAGGCGGCGGGCCCCGGCTCACACCTCCAGCTGTCAGGGAGGGAAGAAAGAGATCAGGGACACAGGCTGGGAAGTCATTGCAGTAAGACTCAGCTGTGCGTCACCTCTGTGCTGTTGGCTGGACACAGAGAAATGGCCACCACGTGGGGGTGGTCGGGCGGACGGAAGGAAGTACCTGAACGTGGGCTTGAGTAAATAAGAATGTCAGGTGGTAAACTGTCTCCTGCAAATCACGCCCACCTTCGCCTGCATCATGTGATGGTCTCGTGTCCACATCGGTGGTTCTGAGATTAGGTCCCCAAGGATCCTCAGCCCATGCCTGGCCTCTCCTCTCCCTCCCCTGCTGCAGCCACGGGACATCCCCTTGTGCCTTTCACCCTCAACTTCACTATCACCAACCTACCCTACGCTGAGGACATGCAGCCTCCTGGATCCTTGAAATTTAACACCACGGAGAGGTCCCTGCAGCGCCAGGTGAGAGCCGCGCCCACCTCACCCTGCCAGCCCCGCCCACCTAGTCTCCATCCTGCATTCTGGTGCCAGCCCCACCCACTCCTGCCCCATCCTCCGGGAGCTAGCCCCTCCCACCTCACTCTTGCCCCACCCACCGATACCCATCGTGCCCCTGCATCACAGATCATCTCTGTTTTTTTAATATTTTTTTTTACATTTATCTATTTTTGAGAGACAGAGAGACAGAGCACAAGTGGGGGAGGGGCAGAGAGAGAAGGAGACACAGAATTCGAAGAAGGCTCCAGGCTCTGAGCTGGCAGCACAGAGCCTGACGCGGGGCTGGAACTCACGAGAGCTGTGAGATCATGACCTGAGCCGAAGTCGGACGCTCAACTGACTGAGCCACCCAGGTGCCCCAAGGTCATCTATTAAGTTTCCTTGCCCTCACCCACAGCTCGGACCCTTGTTCCAGAACACCAGTGTGGGCCCCCTGTACTCAGGCTGCAGACTGACCTTGCTCAGGTGAGACCTTACAATCCCTGGCCAGGGCTGCCTTAAGCGCTTTCAGACCCTAGGAGTTCCCTCTGCTTCCTCCCTGCCCTCTCTGTCCTCAGCAGAGGTGGAATGCAGGAGGCACTGGCTCCAGGATCAAGGCCTCTTCTGATTGTAACCGCCTCCCTCCCCGCCCCCCCCCCGCCCCACCAAACTGTTCCCAGATTCTGCAGAGTCCCTCAGTAGGATGGGGACCCTAGTCTGGTCATCCTTCTGAATTTCCTCCTGCCTCCATTTGACCAAAGAGGGCACTTCCTTGAGGTTTTCAGTTCTATCCCCAGGATTCCTCTCAAGACAAGCATGCCTTTTCCACTTGCTTTAATCCCCAATCCCAGCTCTCCGCCTGTCTCAAGTAGAAGCCCTCCCGTCCCCATGCCGTGAGGCTGCAGGTTTCAGACTTGCAATTTAATAAAAACCCTCCCACCCATTGACAGTGTGCGTGGTCCCAGGCTGGCCAGAGGTGGGTTCCAGCCTCCTCGCTTCCCCTGGCCCCTTCCTGGCCCGCCCCAGGGGTCCCAGGAGCCCTGCCTGGGGACTGCACCAATTGTTACCTCTACCCGCCCTCCCCAGGCCCGAGAAGAATGGGGCAGCCACTGGAGTGGATGCCGTCTGCACCCAGCGCCCTGACCCCACGGGCCCTGGGCTGGACAGAGAGAGGTTGCACCAGGAGCTGAGCCAGCTGACCCATGGTGTCACCAGGCTGGGTCCCTACACCCTGGATCCCAACAGTCTCTACATCAATGGTGAGGGGCTGCCACCCGTGTCTGCACTTCTCCAGGCCCCGCATCCTCCTCTCCATCCATTCCTCCCTTTCCCTCACTCCTCCCCCTCCTCACCCTTTCTCCCTCGACCTGTGCAGGTTTCACCCACCAGACGCAGGCCACCACCCCCAGCAGTGAGTATTCAGAGGCTTCAGAAGTCCCTGCAAGCACGTGAGGCCCTGCCCTTAGAACAGAAGAGGCCAGGAGCCCACCGCCTGCCCTCCGCATCCCTGCTCCACCCCAGCCTCGGGTGAATGGGGATCCATGCCCATTAGAGCCCCAGACACAGGCCCCCGGTCCCTGGCATCTGCAGGATGATGAGGTCCCCACCCCGAGCACCTGTCTCCTCCCAGCTTCCGGGATGACAGACTCTCCATCTGTGGTGCGGGCTGTGCCAGGCTGCGGGTCTCCTGCTCGCTGTGGGTTCTGCAGCAGCAGGCACTGCATGAATTCAGACTTCCCCTGGGGCTCACATTTCCTGTGCTTTGGGCAAGGTTTTGGTCTCTCCGGAGATGTCTTCCGGATTGTCTTCCTTGTGAGGAATCATGGCTGGGATGGTCCAGCTGCCTCACAGCCAAGTTGCCCCTTCACGCAGGACCTCTCCGTTCCCCTCCTCCTCATCTTGCCTTCTCTTTGCAGGTCACACCCAACCGGCTTCAGCCACCACCCCCAACAGTGAGTGTTTCCGACCTCGTGTGCCTGTGACCACCACCCTTCCCCTAAAGATGGGGGCTGCTCAGTCAGCCAGGCCTTCCCTCCTGTTCCCCCCCTTCTGGACGGGAAGTCCAGAGGACATGTATGGAAATGTGGGCCGAGCTGGAGGTGACAGGAGCCGGCCCTCCCCCCAACACAACTGAGGACGATGCCCTGACTCCAGGCTACATGGGCAGAGAGACAAGGACACAATTTATCACAGGAGCCACCACTGTTACCACCATTCCCACACCGATGGAGCACACCTCTGATAGCATCCCTTGCGGTTTTCTCCCTCCGCTGCTGTCACCTCCGCGTCCTTCTCTAGCTCCAACCCTCAAGCCCTCAAGTAGGAAGGTCCTACTGGTACCAAAATCATTTCTACGAAATCCTTCATTCGAGATCACTTCTTCTCTCATTGCTTATTCAGCTTCCCCAAGGAAACTCATCCATTCCCATGGGTTTCAGGGAGCATCTAGCTTCTGTGGGTCCAGCTGCTCAGAATCCAAATCTCGAGTCTAGCCCACTCCATGAAGCAGCTTCTGATGCTTGGTCCACCCACCCACCTCCTGGACATCACCGGGGCCCTTGGTCTCTGACTCTGAAGTCACAGTCTCCTCCCAAACTTACTCCCTTTCCTTATTACCAAAGGCAGGGACCTGGGTGTCAACCTTGGCCCTCCCTCTCATTCACCTCCCACATCCATCCATCCATCCATCACCAAATCATCTCTTCTCCCTTTGTAATATCTTGCAAGTCCTTTCTCTGTATCTGTGTCACTCAGCCTTGATTCAGGCCATGGGCATTTTTTTTTTTTTTTTTTTTTTTGCCAGGACTAATGCAGTAGCCTCTTCTCTGGCCTCCTACAGTCCTCTGCACAGCAGCTGCAGCGTCCCTCCCTCTGTCCACATAATTGCTGTCTTGTTGACGATCTTTGAATGACTCCACCTTATCTACATGTCCAAACCCCTGAGCTGCATAGTCACTGCCCCCCCCCTTTCTGGGCTCCCAGGACCCCTCCAGTCTCACATCTATACTTCCTCATGGCCACAATGAAAGCATTCAAGTCCCTTGAGTACAACTGCCCTGTCCTCCTGCTGGGCTTGTGTCCAGAGGCTGATTCTTCCGCTTGAGTGCTCTTCCTCTTGCTCAGCTGACTCTTACTCATGCTCTTGGTCACATCTGAAGTGATGCTTCCTCCTGGAAGCTGTCCTCAGTCGTTTGTTGGATACCCCTCTGGAAATGCACAGCCTCCGGGCTCCCCTGCAGCATGATGGTCTGGCCACTCTCCTGGCCTCAATATTAGCAGCCTATGCCCCACCTTGGACCCGCAGAGCCTAGCACAGAGCCTCACACACATGAGACACCTGGTACATGCTCACTGAACGAAATGAGTGAAGAATTCCATAATGTTCTCTCCTTCCACTTCTGCAGTCCATGGCTGTACTTAGGTCCTCTGCCAGTACTCTACCGTTAGAGCTCCAGGTAACCTCCAGGTAACCTCCAGGCCCTTACCGTGGTCCCAGCTGGACATTTTTCTGTTCCTCCCTCACTGCAGCCACTGGCCCCGCTCTGGTGTCCTTCACCCTGAACTTCACCATCACCAACCTGCACTACACTGAGGACATGGGGCACCCCAGTTCCTTGAAGTTCAACTCCACCAAGAGGATCCTCCAGCACCAGGTGAGAGCCGCTCGATGACCACCGTCAGCGCCACCAATGCCCGCCCGCCTAGCCCTTCAGTCCTTCTGCTCACCCTCCTCTCTCTCCCCACCAGCTCAAGCTCCTGCTCAGTAAGACCAGTGTCGGCCCCCTCTACGCTGGCTGCAGACTTGCCTCGCTCAGGTGAGACCCCCGGGTGGAGGGATGTGTTGGGTCCAGTGGATCCTCACGCTCTGGCCAGCAGGGCTCAGTTCCTGGGCATGCCTTTGGCGCAGCTGGCCTCCAGCACCCATCACGACACTTTCATGCCTTCTTCATGCCCCCGGAGTGGGAACGCTCAAGACCTAGAAGTGAGGCATCGTGCTTATACTTACAAAATCCAGACGATCATCTGTTTTAGATGAAAGCTTTCCTCTTGGAAGAACCACTAGATCTTGTCTGCCAATTCCAATTAAGGTGTTTTCTGTTCTTCGTTGTGAGGGAGTCATCTCCAACAAGAGACACTTAGGAGAGCCCCTCTGGCCTTCAGAGCCAGCCCTTTTGTACCCTCTCCGCCTCCTGCCTTCTACTTCTGGCTGTCCCCATCCAGAAGGACCCCTCCAACAGTATTCAACATCCCCATGTCCTTCTTTCCCCAGGCTTGAGAAGGGTGGTGCAGCCACTGGCGTGGACATCGTCTGCACCGTCCACTCTGACCCTGCGGGCCCCGGGCTGGACAGAGAGCGGCTATACTGGGAGCTGAGCCGTGAGACCCATGGCATCACCCGGCTGGGGCCCTTCACTCTGGACAGGGACAGCCTCTGTGTCAACGGTGAGGGGCTGTGCTCCCGCAAGGGTCTCTTTCCCAGCCAGAGTTTGTGTTTCTCTAAAGGACGCTGTGGCCCATCTCCTTCTCCTCTGCTCTGGGTTCATTCCGATGATGGTACCATGGGCTCCAGCCACCTCCGATCCCACTATTTGGACACTTCCTCCCTAAGCATCCCTCTTCGGCCGCTCCCTCTCTGCTTTTCCCACAAAGGCCCCTAAATCCTACCTTTCCCTTACTCCTTTATGCTCACCCCAACTCCCGCTCAGCTCCTCTGGCCTTCTCTCTGCAGGTTACACCTATGGAGCCACAGCCCCAACTACCACGGGTGAGTGTTCCTTGCCCTGGCTTCCTGGGTCTCGTCCCCACTTTGGGATTGGGGAGCAGCTGTTGTCCTTTACCACCTGTCCTTGATGAGGAAAACAACTGGAAAGGACCCTCATTCATCCCTTCTCTCCCTGGGATCTGGTGGAGAGTCCCAGCCCAGGGCTAGAGCATCTTACACACAAGTCTGTCCCCCCACTATTCTGACCCTCACATGTTTTTCACTCAGATTCTCCTAAAGCTTCCCTGGTACTCTTTCTTTCTTTCTTTCTCTTAATATTTATTTATTTTGAGAGAGAATGCACAAGCAGAGGAGGGGCAGAGAGAGAGGAGAGAGAATCCCAAGCAGGCTCCTTGCCGTCAGTGCAGAGCCTGACTCGAGACTTGATCCCACAACCTTGAGTCGTGACCTGAGCCAAAATCAAGAGCCAGATGCTTAGCCGACTGAGCCACACAGGCGCTCCCCTGGTTCTCTTCTCTTATCCTTTTACTCACCTCTCTGCTCATTGTTCTGAGTGTCTTGACATCAGAATTGTGCAGTTGTTGGATTTTCAGTGAACACGTACTGAGGCTGGCTGCCTTGCAGGCACCGTGCTAAATTGCATACTGAATTAGTCAGCTCTGGCTGCCAAAGCTAAGTACCACAGGCTGGGTGGCTCAGAGCACAGAAGTGTATTTTCTCGCAGCTAGAACCTGGGGGGTGCCAGCAGGGCTGGGTTCTCTGGGGCCTCTCTCCTTGGCATGTGGGTGGTGACCTCTTACTGCCTCTGGGCATGGTCACTCCTTTGCACACACGTTCCCCATGTCCCTCTGTGTCCCAATCTCCTCTTCTTATACAGATAGCAGCCAGATTGGATTAGGGCCCACCCCAACAGCCTCCTTTTAACTTAATTACCTCTCTAAAGACATTGTCTCCAAATACAATCGCGTACTGAGGTCCTAGGGATTGGAGCTTCTCAAATTTCAGTGGTTGGGAGGAGACACAATTCATCCCAAAGCACATGCACCTTATCCTTTCATTCTTGCTACAAGTATGTGACTTAGCTCCAATTTACAGATGAGTAAACCCAAGCCCAGAGAGGCTGCCAAGTTGCACAGCAAATAAATAATAGAACCAGGAGTTCCTTGACTCCAAAAACTCACAGTCTCATTCATCTCTCAGTTAATTTTTTTACCAAGACACACTGATTTTTGGTGCACACTTGTCTTGTTCAAGTTCATGGGCCAAACTCCCATTGCATCCCCAGCAAACCCTGGAATGAGGAGCTTGTAGCTTTTTCAAGAGTTAAATGCCCTTGCATCAGAGGTGTGTTTTTACAACCCTCGCAAACTCTTCATGGGTCCATCTCTGGTCTTTTACACCACAGTATCTTCATTTGCTCCTTCCAACATCAGCAGGGTTCTGGGCTCCTCAGGTCCAATGAGAACCATATTTCCCCAAATGATAGGAGGAAAAATAAGTTAAATTCATTCAATTGGCTGTGGTTTGTTTATCAGTATCCAGTCCTTGCAATAGATTCAGAAGCATTATAGTCTTAATTCAATGTACATGGAGGGAAGGCAAGATGGATGGGTGGAGGAATGGATGGAAGGAAGAAGTGATGAACAGAAGGAGGGAAGGAGAGAAGATGGATGAGCAGATGGAAGGAAGAAAAGATGAGTGGAAGGGGAAAAGGAGGGTAGAACCATGTCTAAATAGATGGAAAAAATAGATGTGGAAGGAAGCAAATATGGATGGATAGAAGGAAGAAAAAGGGTGGAGGAAGGAAGCAAGGAAAGGTAGATAGGTGGAAGAAAGTGGGGATACAAGGAAAGACAGAAGGATGCATAATGCATAGAAGGTATGAATGGGAAGAAGGAAAGACTAGGAGTGATGAAGGAAGGAATGATGTATGCAAAGATGGTGGCTGGTTGGCTGGATGGGTGGATGTCATGGGTGCACAGATGGATGAGTGAGTTGATGGATGGAGAGATGGAGGATGGATGGATAGAGAGACAGATGGATGGATGGGTGAATTGATAGATGGGATATGGAGGATGGATGGATGGAGAGATGGATAGATGGATTCATGGATGGATGTCATGGGTGCATAGATGGATGGATGGATGTCATGGGTGCATGGATGGAGGGAGGAAAGGAGGGAGGGATGGGTGGATGAATGGATGATGGAGAATGTATGAGTGGAGAGATAGATGGATGGATGTCATGGGTGCATGGATAGATGCATGAGTGGGTGGATGAAGAGATGGAAGAAGGATGAATGGGTGGAGAGATGGATGGGTGCATAGACAGATGGTAGATGAAAGGAAAGAATGGATAGAGGGAGGAAGAACGAAATATGGATAGAAGGAAGGAAGGAAGGAAGGAAGGAAGGATGAATGCATGGATGAATAGAAAGTTGGAAGGAAAGAAGAAAGGAAGGATGGAAGGAAGGATAGACAGAAGGAAGCTTGGAAGGAGTGATGAACAGAAGAGAAGGAGGAAAGAAGGGAGGTCAGCTTTTCTTGCAGAGGTTTGTCCTAAACAATTGACCCTGTGCTGCTCCCTGCTTATCTAGTCTGGAGTCAAACCACCAGGCCTCTGTTCTTACTTGCATCATACATTTATTTATTATACTTCTCCTGGGGTCTATGCAGGTCACCCCCACTATTGAACACTGGGCCAGCTGCATGTGTTTAGGCAAGAGCATATGTATTAGCAGGGGAGTTCATGAGCAAGGACTCTGGGGTCGGAGAACCTGGGTCCAAACCCTGACTTTCCCTCCCTCCAGTCATGTAACCCTGAGCAGGAGATCATTTCTGTGCTGTGGTTCTCCTTTGTTTAGTGTGGAGAAGTCTAGTGCCCAGCTCATATTCATCTGGGTAAAAACTCCATTTGCAGTGAGTGATCAGGAAGTATTTGCTTATTTGTCTTCTATAGTAAACACTCAAATAGGTGTTTACTCTATGCCCAGCACTGTGCTTAAGCACTTTACAAAATTCGATTTGTTCAAACCTCATAACAACTTTTGAAGTAGGAATCACTATTATCTTACAGATGAGTAAACTGAGGTGCAGAGAGATTGGTTACAGCTGCTAGTTGTTGTTTTTTGTTTTTTTTTTTACACAATGCCTAGAAGATTGGCATACCTGGGTGTTATAGAGAGACAGAGAGAGACAGACAGAGAGAGAGGAAAAGAGAGACAGAGGCACCGAGAGATAAAGAGATAGAGATGGGGGAACAGAAAGAAAGTGAAGGAACATGTCTGGGGTTATCCTTGGTCCCACATCAGCATGGTAAGCTGGAGCCTTTCCTTCTGGGAAAGAACAAAGCCACCAGAATTTCCACAGAACCCTCCCCTCCTGCACCTGGGTGGAAACACCATCTCCAGCCCCCAGATCAAGCCTGTCCTTCCTTGCTGCTGGAGTTGTCTCCATTAACACGTGGCCCTCGGGTTTCCTGGGAGGAGGACAAGAGGCCCTTGGAAGGCCCACTGTGGGTGGATGTTGGGCACCCGACCTCCCACAAGCCTTGGCTCTCTCTGCACTTACCACAGCTGGGGAGGCCCGTGAGGAGCTGTTCACACTGAACTTCACCATCGACAACCTGCGCTACTCAGCGGACATGGGCCGCCCCGGCTCCCTCAAGTTCAACATCACAGATACCCTCATGCAGCACCTGGTGAGAGCACGACTTCTGCCTCTGTGCCTCCATGACCCCCTCTAGGGGCTGTCGCCACCTCTGACCACACTGGCTCTCTCCTTCCTCTCCAGCTGGGCCCATTGTTCCAGAAGAGCAGTCTGGGTACCCGATATACAGGCTGCAAGGTCACCTCACTAAGGTGAGAATCCCCCACCCACCATGGCCCACCGCCAAAGGACAAGGACTGTGGGGGCCACTCCCGGTTGTGGTGGACTGTCTTGAAGGGTCCTTTTTGGCATCGTTGTGTTTTTTTTTTAATATAATTATTGTCAAATTGGCTAACATACAGTATGTAAGGTGTGCTCTTGGTTTTGGGGGTAGATTCCCGTGGTTCATCGCTTCCATGCAACACCCAGTGCTCATCCCATCAAGTGCCCTCCTCAATGCCCACCACCCATTTCCCCCTCTCCCCCACCCCCATCCACTTTCAGTTTATTCTCTGTATTTAAGAGTCTCTTATGGTTCGACATCCATTTTCTGATATTACGTTGTTGTTGTAATTGTCATAAAATATCTATAGACATAAAATTAGCCATTCTAACCATTTTCGAGCATACATTTCAGTGGCATCTGTTACATGCATGATGTTGTCACCCTTCCCCACCATCTAGTTCTGAAACTCTTCATCACTCTGTACCCACTGGGCAATTACTCGCACTTTTCTGGGTCAGTGTGTGTTCTCTTGGCGTTTATGAAGCCCTTCTCCATCTGTATTTTCATTCCACTGCCATTGGTGGTGTGGCTCCTCTGAGGCAAGTGGTGGGTCCCACAGTGATGGGCAGACACTGCCCCTGTGCTCATCTAGTGGATAAAGCAGAAAATAAGTAGAAGGAGAGATATCTAAAGTGGTTTCAAATGCAGTAAGGTGATGAGCATAGTACATAAGAGATGAGAAAACAGCTTTACCTGGGATACTCCAGCTCTTTGTGGTGGTGATTTCTCAGCTGGGTCCCAACTGGAAACAAGGATTTGGCCGCGAAAACTGTTCCAGGCAGAGCAAGCAGCACGGGCAAAGGTCCTCAGGTAGGAATGAGCTTGGCATGCTCGGTGAACAGCAAGGAGGCCAACGTGGCTGGAGCAGAGAGAGAGCAAGGGGCAGAGAGAAAGGAGGCGGATTTCCAGGCATTTGGATTCGACTTTCCAGAGTCTTGTCAGGAATTGTTGTTTTTTGTTTTTTAATTGTGGTAAAGTACACATGCCATAAAATTTACCATCTGAACCATTTTTAAGTGTCCAACTCAGTAGTGTTAAGTGTATTCATATTGTTGTGCAACCAATCTCCAGAACTTGTAAAACTGAAACTCTATACCCGTTAAACAGCAGCTCTCAGCTTCCCTCTACCCCCAGATGTTAACAATTACCATTCTACTTTCTGTCTCTATGAATTTGACTACTCTGGGTACGTCATACAAGTGGAATCATATGATATCCGTCCTTTCATGTGTGGCTTATTTCACTGACCACAAAGTCCTCAAGGTCCATCCATGTTGTAACAGGTGTCAGAATTTCCTTCCCTTTTAAAGCTGAATAATATTCCACTGTATGGATATGTCATATTTTGTTTATCCATTCATCAGGACACTGGGTTTTACATGGAACAGGCAATGTGAGAGGTACTAGGGGTTCAGTACAACAATGAGCTAGACTGTCGTCCTATTTCCTGACCTCATGGAGGCCACAGTCTGGAGGGAACAGGAACGAATAATAGATGCTCACACTCAGGGCAACCAGGCCTGTGATGGGGGAAGCATGAGGTACTGTGGCAGCCAGAACCCTCTCCTGACCCAGCCTGGGAGGGTTTTTGGAGAAGGAGGAGGTATCTAAGTTGGGACCTGAAAGATGACCGGAAGTTACCCAGGTAAGGAGAGACAGGGAGAAACCTCCAGACAGAAGTCACAGCATGTGCAAAGATCCTGGGGTGAGAGAATGTGGCCAGGTGGAGAAAGTGTGAATGGTTCAACAAGGCTGGAACACAGGATATGAGGTGTGCAGTGACCTCGGGTAGAGAGATGCCATGTGGGCTACAGTCCCCAAGCATCAACCTCTTCTTCCTCAGGTCCGTGAAGAATGGTGCCAAGACAAGGGTGAACATCCTCTGCACCTACCGGCAGCACCCCAGCAGCCCGGGTCTACTTGCGAAACAGGTGTTCCATGAACTGAGCAGGCAGACCCGTGGCATCACCCGGCTGGGCCCCTATTCACTGGACAAGGACAGCCTCTACCTCAATGGTGAGTTGTTCTCCACCCACCTCACCGCTTCAGCTTCCCCATCTCTGGAAACGTTTCCATTAACCACAGGTCAGTTCTCTAGCGGAAACCTTGGGACAGACTCAGGCATGAACCCCAACTCCACACTGACCCCCATCCTCCCACAGTCATTCTGCAAGGCTGTCCTTGATCACACCTATTTTACAGATGTAGAAATGGAGGCTCTGAAAGATTAAGTAATTTGTCCAAGTGGGTGTAGCTGGAGAGGGGTGAAGCCGGGCATGAGCCCCAGCAGTCAGCGTCCAGTGCCTTTAACTCCTAGAAGAGTCTTTTGGGAGAGACATGGGGAAAGAAAATCCCACATCTGTCTCCCCTACCACCTTCTCACCCTTGACCATGGATGGTCTACTCTTCTGGGTGGGTCCCCAATGCCGGAACTAAGGTGGGCGCTCTGAACATCTGTGGGGCCTGAGCTTTGGACACACTGGACATCAGCCTAGCATCCAGGAAGGGACAGTGTTTAAGAGGGTGAGCCTTTTCTGGGGTTCTAAGAGGCAGAGCATGTCTGTAGTGAAGTTCATTGGAGTAACTCAGCTTCTCTCCTCTCTGTTTCCAACTTGGGAATGGAGTTTGGCAACTCACACTTTCTTGTCACCATTGCCACCTCAGGTGAGCGGGGGGACATCCTGGTCCTTTATGACACCCATTTTAGCAAAGAGGGAGCTGGTACAGAGAAAGGCATGTGCCCATGCCCACAGTAGGTTTGTGGCCAGTCTGGGTTGTGGTGTTCCGAGTTCCTATCTCTTCCCTTCGCCTTGGCCATTGCAGAGGCCAGGGTAGGATGTTTCCTCCTGTAAACTGCACAAGTTATGTGCTGCTTCTTTCTCACTTGGTCAGTATTCGCCAGCATCTGCTAGAAGCTAGGCACTGTGCCTGGCACCAGGGACACAGACAGGCGGCATGTGCAACCTGTCCTAATGTAAGCTCCAGAGGTGCAGAGACATTTTGTTTGGTGCTGTGTTCCCCAAATGTAATGGAACTTGGTACATAGTAGGTTCTCAATAAATATTTGTTGGATGGAGGGATAGATTGGAGGGAGGATGGAAGGGCAGAGGGTGGGATGAATGGGTATATGGGGGAATGAGTGTGTGAACATGAATGTGGTGAGAGTCTCATGGGGGCATGCTGGAGAGGTGGACAGGGAAGGGTTGCTTCTAACCGGAAGATCCTAATGGTAGAGATGACATTGGAGTCTGGTCTTAGAAGATGCATAGATGGTCACCTCGTACATAGAAAGAGAGGCATCCAGCTGGAGCACCACAGGGACAAAGGCATGGAAGTCTGGGATTGTTCTTTCCCTTCCCCTTATGTGTGACATTTCTGTTTCCAGGTTATAACGAGCGTGGTCCAGATGAGCCTCCCACAAGTATGTATCTTTGCACCCCGTACCCATCTTGAGCCAAGCTTTTCTCCTCACTAGCAAAGGGAGCTTGCCCAGTATTGGCTTTCTAAACTTTCCACACCCATCTGGGTTGGAGAAAGAAATTTGAGCAAGCATTTCCTATAGGGATGGGCGTTGAGGTCAGATAATGACCTTGTAGTTCGTGCCTCCTGGAAACAAAATCTACAAGGGCCACAAAAGGGGCCTCAGTATCAAGCTGCAAATTATGGTGGCCACTTAGTGGCTTGGCCAAATTTTCCCATTCACTTAGCCAATGGTCCCTTCATCTATCTTTTAACCCATCCATTCTTCCATTCTCCCAGTTAGCCTTCTCTTAGGCTTTTCCTTCCCGCCTTCCTTCCCGCCTTCTTTTCTTCCTTCCTTCAATCTTTCTTTCCTTCCTTCTTTCCCTTTGTCCATCAACCCATTAATCCATCGTCCTTCCTTTCCTTCTTCCTTCTATTCTCTCATCCATCCATCCTCCATCTCTCCTTCCCCCCTTCATCCATCCTTTATTCGTTCTGTCCTTCATTCATTCTTCCATCTATACATCTTTCATTCTTTCCTTCCTTCCATCCATCCATCCATCCATCCATCCATCCATCCATCCTCTGCCTGTTCACTTTTTGTCCTTTCTGCCTTCTGTCCTTCCATCCATCTCTCTTACTTTCCTTCCTTGTGTTTATTCTTGCTTCCCCTTTTACCCCTCATTTGTTCATTCTTCCTCTGTCCATCCAGGTATCCCATCTGTCCACCTTTCTTCCCATTCATCTCTCTGCCTTCTTTGCTTAGTCTCTCTCTTGTTCACCTACCCTTACTCTCTCGGGTTCATTTCATTCATGGGCTCGCTCACCCCTCTGCTCACACAGTTCTCCCTTCCCTTGCTCTCATTTATGGCACACCTGTGAACTCTTGTCTTGGGACCACCACTGCTGGAGTCCAGACAAATGTGGGGAGTTTCTCCCACTCTGTGGGGAGCTCTGTCCCCTCCTGATAACCGCCCTTTCCACAGCTCCTGAGGCAGCCACCACATTCCTGCCTAGTTCATCATCACCTGGGCAACCAGAAGCCACCACAGGTATTTAGGGAATCCTTTTTATTCCCAAGAGAAACTTTAACAGCCCTCCACCTCTACCAGCCAGTTGTAACACAGGGGCTGAGAAGCCAGAGTGTAAAATTCTGGTTTAGGACAGTCATGCCAATCCAAAGATTCTACTGACAGTTCAATCTAATGCATACCTTCATGGAGCCCCCAGTATTGTGAGATCAACAAACCATTATAACACAGTGTGAAATGTTTTGGGGAGAGGGATCTAACATAATTTGGAAGGTAAGGAATTTCTGGAGAAATTTGCACCCAAACTGATTCTTTTTTTTTTTTTTAATGTTTATTTATTTTTTGAGACAGAGAGAGACAGAACATGAATGGGAGAGGGTCAGAGAGAGAGAGGGAGACACAGAATCTGAAACAGGCTCCAGGCTCTGAGCTGTCAGCACAGAGCCCGACGCGGGGCTTGAACTCATGAACCACAAGATCATGACCTGAGCCGAAGTCAGATGCTCAACCGACTGAGCCACCCAGGCGCCCCAAAACTGATTCTTTAAGAATGAGTAGGAGTCATCCAGGCAAATAGGGGATGAAGAGTTTTCCTGGTGTAGGGAATCTGATGAGCAAAGGCTCAGTGGCCGGAAACAGCATAGTATATGGAGAGAATTGAGAGGGATTTAGTTTGCATGAACCATGAACCTTAACCTGGAATAGATGGAGAAGTGAAGCTGAAACACTGGCAAAAACCAGATTGGGAGGGACATTGAGTGCCAGGTCAAGAAGCTTGAACTTAACACTGAAGACCAAAGGAAGCCATGGGAAGTGGTGACTATACTGAGATTTTCACTTAAGAAAATTCTTCTAGGGTCTAGTCAGTTAAGTGTCCAACTCTTGATTTGAGCTGAGGATATGATCTCACGGTTCATTAGATCAAGCCCTTAATCAGACTCTGTGCTATCAGCACAGAGCCTGATTAAGGGCACTCTCCCCCACTCCCACCCCCCCCCCCCCATGTTCTCTCACTCTCTCTCTCTCTCCCTCCCCCTCTCTCTCTCCCCCCCCCCCCCCCCCTCAAAATAAACAAGCAGTTTAAAAAAATTTCTGGGACACCTGCATGGCTCAGTCCATTAAACATCCAACTTTGGCTCAGGTCATGATCTTGTGGTTCATGAGTTCAGGCCCCGTGTCAGGCTCTGTGCTGACAGCTCAGAGCCTGGAGCCCGCTTCAGATTCTGTGTCTCCCTCTCTTTCTCTGCTCCTCCCCTGCTCATGATCTGTCTCTCTAAAAAATAAACATTAAAAAAATAAATTAAAAATTAAAAAATTAAAAAATTTTTCCGCTAGACTTCAGTGCAGAGAACATTCTTTAGATGGGGCATCCAGCAAGTCTGCTGGGATGTTGGTCCAGGTGAGAGAGGATAAGACTTGATCTGGGACAGGATAGAGAGAGGGTGTGTGAGGACCATTCTGTAAGTAGAAATGGTGTTACTTGGAGGGGAGAGAGAGGGAGCTAAGCAACGTGCTGGTTTTGGCTTGGGTGACCACATGGCGGGTGGTGGTGACACTGGAAGAGAAGATGACAGAGTAGGATGAATGCAGGATTTTGATTTGGTCTCAGGCCAGCTCTCAGTAGTCACCATCTCTCCCCCTCCTTCTCATAGCTATGGGACACAACCTGAAGACCTTCACACTGAACTTGACCATCTCCAACCTCCAGTATTCAACAGACATGAGCCACAGCTCAGCTACATTCAACTCCACCAAGAGGACCCTGCAGCACCTGGTGAGACCCTGCTCCTAGCAGCTCCTAGTGGGATAAATCCCACCCAGCCCCTCCTGCTCATCCGCCTCCTCCTTCCTCCCCAGCTTGGATCCTTGTTCCAGAAGAGCAGCCTGGGCCCCTTCTATTCAGGTTGCAGATTAATCTCCTTCAGGTAGGACTTCCTCCTGAGCATTTGCCAGTAGTGACCATTTTGGTGACCAACCCTTTCAGTCTTCCCACTGACCTCCCATTTGCCCTTCCCTCCTTGTGGCCCCCATACTGAGGTTTCAGAACCTCTCTTTAAGAGTCCCCACATCCCTCTCTCCCCAGGCCTGAGAAGGATGGGGTAGCCACTCATGTTAACGCCATCTGCACCTATCACCATGACCCCATGGGCTACAGGCTGGACCGAGAACAGCTTTACTGGGAGCTAAGCCAGCTGACCCATGGTTTCACCCAGATGGGCATCTATACCCTGGTCAGGGACAGCCTCTTCGTCAATGGTGAGTGATTTATAGCAATCATTATTTGTCTCTGTTCTATTTTATTTCTTCCTTAACAAGTCAGCCCAAGCTCTGATTGAAGGACACCCTCCCCAAACTCTCCATGGAGAGAGTCTCTCCTGTTATTTCAGGTAAAAAGAGTGAAATTCTTTGACCAAATTAATATAAATAATTTTAATTTGCACTCCAAATGTCTGACTCGTAGATCTCTTGGGACAGGATTTCTTCTATACAAGGTTCCTCCATGCCAGTGGTCCTCACCTGGGGGCAATTCTGCCCCTCAGGAGACACTTGGCAATGTCCGGAGACATTTTGATCACCACAACTGGGGGAGAGTGGTACTGGCACCTAGTGGCTCGAGGCTGGGGGTGTTACGAATGTCCTCCAATGATCAGGGATCCTCACTGCCAAGAGTTACATAGCTCCGAATATCAGTAGTTCTGAGAATGAGAAACCCTGCTCTACATGGGCCTCTGGTCCCTAGATGGGCACCAACTTATCACACGTTATCACAATTATTTAATTATCCAACTCTACAAAATTAAGTCTCGTAGTCTGGCGATACACCCTCAGTTCTTTATGTGTCGGTACATTGTCATCCCCAATGAGTGAGTAAATGAGTGAACAAATGGGAGATGAGTATCTCAGCCCCCATATTGAGGGATCCGCTGTAGTTCACATTCATGCATTCAACAGATGCATATACAATACTATTCTGTCCCAAGCCATGTGCTGGATACAGAGATGGAACTCGCAGGTTCTCTCCCTGAAAACTAATAATCAAGAGAATGAATGTTATCTAGGGACACACAAACAAAGCAGGGACACTGTTATTAACAGGGTGCTGTGGAAGCACACAGGAGGAGCAAGTCAAGGAGGGTTTCTTGGAAGAGGATATTATGTACCCAGCACTGTAGTAGGTATGGGGACATGGCCAGAACAAGACAGATGGGTCCCTGCTCTCCTGTAGTCTCATCTCATCAAGGTCCTGAAACATGAGTAGGAGATTTCCAGAAAAAGAGGATTGAAAATATTCCAGGAAGCCGGAACTGCCTAAGCCCAAGCAGAAAAGCTCAGCTCAGGAGAATCACTGGAAAATTCCAGTTTTCCCCCTCTTTGGGGTGACTTTCCACTAGGAACCCCCCGGCATGTGGGCCTGAATTTGGCTGATTCTGACAGCAGTCATCAGGCCTCTCTCTGTGTGAAAGGGTAAGAGTCTCCACCTCTCTTCTCTTCCTATCATTGGCTCCAGGCTACGCACCCCAGAATTTATCTATTCAGAATGAGTATCAGCTGAATTTCCACATCCTCAACTGGAACCTCAGCAACTCAGACCCTGCATCCTTGGAGTACACAACCCTGCTGAGAGACATCCAGGACAAGGTGACATCTCTCTCATCTTTCCTGTCTCTCCTTGCCCTGCTCCCCCACCCCCACCATTCCTCTGTCTGACTCACATCTATTAAGTGTTTCAACTCCTCACTTTACCTAATGTGTTCTGGGTTCTCTCAGTTTCCAAAGGTGGTGCTGATTGCCTTCCCCACTTCCCAGATGGGCACACTAAGGCTCAGAAAGGGGAGTGGTGTGCCCAAGATCACACAGTGAGTTAAGGGGCAGAGCCAGGATTTGAACTCACGTCTCCTTTGTCCCAAAGCCTGTGTTCCTTCCATGACTCCAGGAGCTCCTGCCAGCCCCAGGCGATCTTCATCTTACCCTTTATTCTAGGTCACCAAACTCTACAGAGGCAGCCAGCTACAAGACATTTTCCGCTCCTGCCTGGTCACCAACTTGACGTAAGTTGAGGAGGTTGGCAGCACTGGCTGAGCTGGCAGCTTGTGGCTCTGAGCTACCATCCTGGCATACTCCTTGAGCTGGAAGTCACTGGCATGGTGCCCATGCTCTCCCACGTCCCTGTCAGTTAATCCTACCACCTCCTTTCATAGGTCTTCGGTTGGGGAGGTGGGAGGCAGGAAAAGGATTAACTTCCCGGGGCCACCAACTCCATTAACCACCACCTTCTCCTTTCTGGATGCTTTCAATAAATATCAGCCCAATAATAACATTTCCTATGGCCACACACCATCAATGACCATCTCCATTGTTCAGAGGGGAAGCTGAGGCTCAGAGAAGCAAAGTGAACAGCCCAAGAATTGCCCAACTTGGATTTTAACCCAAGTCTCCAAGGGATGGGTAGAGGAACTGAGACATCTACACTGGGGAGCAGGACAATCATGGGACACAGTGCCAACATTGAGTGTTTCCAAACTTCAGTTCCTTTGGCTTTAAGATGGGGATAATTATAATAATACCTTCCACCAGGGTGATGGTGAGGGAATGTGTATTCACTTCCTAGAGGTGCTCAGTAGATGTTCATTAACTTTATAGTTATTTGTTCTATTCCCAACTCCTAGAAACCTTGTATTTTTGGTCAGGGTCTCTTCTCTAGCCTGAGGGAAGAGGAAGCCAGGTAATTTCTTACTTCTTGCCTGTAGGTCTTTGGCTCTATAAAACGGGAACTCAGGAGACACTGCTGGTGTTGGGTGCTGGCTAAGTTCCATGGTCTCTGTCCCTAGGTTGGACTCCATGTTGGTCACCATCAAGGCTCTGTTCTCTTCCAATGTGGACCCCAGTATGGTGAAGCAAGTCTTTCTAGACAAGACCCTGAATGTCTCATCCCACTGGCTTGGTGCCACCTATCAGCTGGCAGATTTGCATGTGACAGGTGTGAGATTGTGGGGTTGGTTTCATGGCTTGAAGAAATGAGGCTTTGAGGAGGAATGGGGCTTCTCTGTAGCAGTGGAATGGATGGAGGCTCTGGAGGGGAAAGGGGGTCTTTCTGGAGGCCCATGTTGATGGGCCATGGCAACAGGTCATCCCAACAGGAGGAGGAAAGAAAACATGCAGCAACTGCACCAAGGGGACAGTCATTTTTACATGTAGATATTTCTAACCCAAAGTGTGGAGTATCCTGCGTGTCCTTCTTAGGCCCTCCAGTTATGAGTCATGTACTGGTTGATTGAAGGACTCATTCATGCATTCATTCAACAAATATGTCATGAAAGTAAATAGGTGCCGATGATTCACTGTGATAACTGCTGTAATCAGGTAATTTAAAGAGCCTTTGGGAACTCACAAGGAGAGACACATGGCCCATCTTGGAAAGTTTTCTGGAGGAAGTTATTAAAAAACTGAGATATGATGGCGAACACAGCCTAGCCAATGGGAAGAGGTGGGGAGTTGAGCTAGCTGTGTTTATAACCTAGAAGATAAAATATTTGGGGAGACTACAAGGAGTTTGGTGTCACTAGAGCAAACACTTTGGCCTGAGAGAAGTGATAGGTAAGGCTATAGATGCAGGCAGGGACTTTCTTGGGTATTGAGATGGTTTGCAGAAGAACACAACACAGAGTTCTGCTTTAGAAAGCTCATCTTCTGAGTTCTGTGTAGAGAGTGGATTGGGAGGGGGAGAAGACCAGAGGCAGCAAGACACATCAGGAACCTAGGTCAACAAAGGGGTGTGACAGATGTCCCCTGAGGTGATCGGCACCTACACTTGCCATCTGTGCGCCAGGGAAACCCAGTCTCATCTTCCCCACATGCTAGTGAGCTCTCATAATGCTTAAGGAAGAGTTGGATGGATAGACAGATCAATGGATTCAAAGTGGCCAGGTCGATGGAGATCTTATGTATCCCACCTTTCAGAATCCAACTCAGGTCACATTGCCAAGAATAATTAGACTAGCTGGAATGACTTCTTTGCTTAAATCTTCACCTGTTGGGGACTTCTATACCTTCTTTTTATTATAGAAGTGGAATCAACAGCTCATCTACCAACAGACAGACCAACAAGCAGTCCCACCTCTCAGCACTTCCAGCTGAATTTCACTGTCACCAACCTACTCTATTCCCAAGACTTATCCCAGCCCAACACCACCAAACACCAGCAGAACAAGAGAAGTATCGAGAATGCGGTGAGAATGGGTTTGTGTCCCATGTAGAGACAGACCGATGGACGCTGGGTAGTCAGAGGGTGATTTTTTGTGACAATTCATCCATACAGGTTCTTTTGCCCATTTACAAATAAAGAAACAGGCACAGAGAGTTTCAGTAGCTACTCTAGGATCATATAGCTAAGTCACACCCTGGAATGGGATGTCCTTTGGTGCACATACCTGGGCTAGTATTTGTTGAGATAATAAAAAGTAGCTGGGGACGTATGCTCAGTGGCTAAAAATTCTCTGATGCCACTGCGCCTGGAATTCTGATCAAGGGAACATCACCCTGTTTTTCAGCTCAACCAGCTCTTCCGAAACAGCAGCATGAAGAGTTATTTCTCTGACTGTCAAGTTTTAGCATTCAGGTGAGTTCCAACTCAGTACCTAATCACTCTGGAGACTCCCGTGGTCCTTTAAGTAAAAGTATCCCCATGTCATGGTCTCAGTTTCTAGTTCTTATGGAAGATAGCCCTATGAGTATAAAACTGTTACCTAAAAACCAGCTTGTTCCTAAACCAATGATGCCAACTGGCTTAGAAACTCAAGAGAGCCAGTGTAGACCTCAGTAGACATGGAGGTGCCTGGTGCTGGGAGCCATGGAATATGGAGTGTAGCATCAATGAATGCCTTAAGAAATCAGCTGTTGGAGGGGCACCTGGGTGGCTCAGTTAAGCATCCGACTTCAGCTCAGGTCATGATCTCACAGTTCGTGAGCTCAAGCCCCATATCAGGCTCTGTGCTGACAGTTCAGAGCCTGGAGCCTGCTTCGAATTCTGTGTCTCCCTCTCTCTCTGCTCTTCCCCTGCTCAGGCTCTGTCTCTCTCTCCTTCAAAAATAATTAAAACATTAAAAAGACTTTTTTTTTTTTTAAGAAATCAGCCGTTGGAGTCAGGATCCATAGAAGATGGGGGTGGATAGAACCAGATGACTTAGAATCCAGCAGTCTAACTGTGTTACTCAGTAGTATAGCCACTAATCACATGAGGCAATCGAAATTGTTTATACATCTCTTGAGATATGATTCACCTATAAAATGCACCCTTTTGAAGTATACAATTTAGTGGTATATTTATAGAGTGGTACAACCATCCCACTCTCTAATGGTAGGATGTTTTAAAAAAAAAAATCCTGTCCCCATTAGCAGCTGCTACCTATTCTTCCCTCAGCCCCATCCCCTAGCAAACAATAATCTACTTTCTGTCTCTCTGGATTTGCCTATTCTGAACATTCCATTTAAATGGATCAATACACTATGTGGTCTTTTGTGACTGACTTCTTTCACTGAGCATCCTGTTTTCAGGGTTGATCCATGTTGTAGCATGGATAGGTACTCTATTCCTTCCTCTGTGACTGAACAATGTTCTGTTGTATGGCTATGCCACTTTTCGTTTATCCATCCATTCACTGATGGACATTGGGTTGTCTCCCCCTTTGCCTATTATGAATAATGACCCTGGACCCTATTACGAATAATGAAAAACTTGTGTAAGTCTTTGCATCAGTTTGAGTTTGAATTCTTTTGGGCATATACATAGGACTGGTCTTGTAGGGTCATGTGTTAATTTCATGTTAACTTTTGAGGAACTACTGAACTGTTTGCCTAAGAGGCTCTACCATTTGCCATCCCCACAAGCAACGTATGAGGGTTCCAAATTATCCAGGTCTTCACCAACAATTGTTATTATCCTTTTTTTACTCTAATCATCCTAGTGGATGTGAAGTGGTATCTCACTGTGGTTTTGATTTGCATTTTCCTAGTGATTAGTGATGTGGAGCAATTTTTCATGTACTATGGATCATTTCTGTACCTTCTTTGCAGAAATGTCTATTCAGGTCCTTTACCCAGTTTTGCATTGATTTTCTTTCTAATTGTTGAGTTATGATTGTTCTTTGTGTGTTCTGGATACTACACCCTTATCAGACATATGATTTGCAAATATGTTCTTCCATTTTAGTAGGTTGCCTTTTCACCTTCTAAGTACTACCCTTTGAAACACAATCATTCTTAATTTTGATGACTCTCAATTTATCAATGTTTTCTTTGGTTGTTTGTGATTTTAGTCCCATATCTAAAAAACCATTGCCTAATCCAAATTCACAAAGATTTATTTACACCTAGGTTTTCTTCTAAGGATTGTATCATTGTCTCTTACATTTAGGCATTTGATTTATTTTGAATTAATTTTTGTATATGTTGTGAGGTACGGGTCCAATTTCATTCTTTTGTATGTGGATATCTAGTTGTCTTAGTACCATTTGTTAAAATTTTTTTTAACATTGACTCATTTTTGAGAACAGAGAGAGACAGAGTGCGAGCGGGGGAGGGGCAGAGAGAGGGAGACACAGAATCCAAAGCAGGCTCCAGGCTCTGAGCTGTCAGCACAGAGCCCAAGGTGGGGCTCGAACTCACGAACCATGAGATCATGACCTGAGCCGAAGTTTGGCACTCAACCGACTGAGCCACCCAGGTGCCCCATCAGTACCATTTCTTAAATAGACTATTCTTTCCCTTTTATCTTGGCAACCTTGTTGAAACTCAATGTCCATGATTGCATGAGTTTTTTATGGATTCTAAATTCTATCCCACTGATCTATATGTCTATCCTTATACTAGTGGCAACTGTTTTTATTACTGTAGCTTGGTATAAGTTTTGAAATTGGGAAATCGAGTTCTCCAACTTTGTACTTTCTCCATATTGATTTACCTATTTGAGGTCCCTTGCAACCCCATATGGGTTTTAGAATCAGCTTATTAATTTCTGTAAAAGAGTCAGCTGGGATTCTGATAGGGATTGCATTTTATCTGTAGATCAGTTTGGGGAGTATTGACATTTCAACAATAATAAATCCCTAGTCTATGAACATGGGATGCGTTTCCATGTATTTAGGTATTTTAAAATTTCTTTCAACATGTTTTATAGTTTTCAATGTACAAATCTCACAATGTTTTTGTTAAATTTATTCCTACATGTTTTGTATTTTGTTCTTTGATGCTGTTATAAATGGAATTGTTTTATTTTATTTTTAAGAATGTTAATTGCTAGGGGCGCCTGAGTGGCTCAGTTGGTTGAGCATCTGACTTCGGCTTGGGTCATGATCTCACAGCTCATGGGTTGTGCTGATGGCTTGGAGCCTGGGGCCTGCTTTGGATTCTATGTCTCCCTCTCTCTGTGCCCTCCCCCACTCACTCTGTCTCTCTGTCTCTCTCTCTCTCTCAAAAATAAATAAACATTAAAAAAAATTTTTTTTATTAAAGAATGTTAATTGCTAGTGTATATAAATATAATGATTTTTGTACATTGGTCTTATATCCTACATTCATGCTGAACTAATAGTTTTCAGCTATGTGTGTCTGTGTCTGTGTGTGTGTATTAGGATTTTCTATATTTAATAACATGTCATCTGCAAATAGAGATAATTCTACATCTTTCCTTCCCATCTGAATTTTTATCATTTCTTTTTCTTGCCTGATTATTTTATTAGAATTACATCTATTAAAATGTAAATAGGACATGAAATGAAGGAAGGGGCGCCTGGGTGACGCAGTCGGTTAAGCGTCCGACTTCAGTCAGGTCACGATCTTGCAGTCCGTGAGTTCGAGCCCCGCGTCAGGCTCTGGGCTGATGGCTCAGAGCCTGGAGCCTGTTTCCAATTCTGTGTCTCCCTCTCTCTCTGCCCCTCCCCCGTTCATGCTCTGTCTCTCTCTGTCCCAAATAAATAAATAAACGTTGAAAAAAAAAATTTTTTTTTAATAAAAAAAAAAAAAAAGAAATGAAGGAAGACAACACTGTCTTGTCCCCAGTCTTAGGGGAAAACTTTCAGTCTTTCACCATTGAGTATGATTTTATCTGTGAGTTTTTCACAGATGCTATTTTTCAGGTTGAGCAACTTTACTTTCTATTCCTAGTTTGTTGGTTTGTTTTTTTTTTTTTAATCATAAAGGATGTTGTATTTTCTCATATTCTCCTTTTGGATGTGTTGAGATTGGGTGGCATTTGTCCTTTATTAATATGCTCTATTCCACTGACAATTTTTTTAAGATGTTAAGCTAGCCTTTTAGCTAGAGGTGAGAGATTAAGGCCTACTCAAATATTTCCTAGGTATTCACACAACCCCACACACTTGTGACTTTCTAGATCCCCACAAACACATTGGAGCTTTTCAAAACCCCTCAGGGACATCTCATTCCCTACTTTTTAAAAACTTTTTGGCTCACCTCTTGCCTGCCTCAACTGTTACTGCTTCCTCAGGCAGCTGCCATGTTAAACAATAATCACTGATTGTTTTGGGCAAGTGCCCTGGGAATAGGCTTCCCTGACCGAAAAAGTTTGGAATCAAATAAAGTCAAATCTTGAAAATGGGGCTTTCTAAAAGGAATCTCCAGACAGGTCAGATATTGAAAAGTCAGTGGGAATGGGTTGTTTTTGGGAATTCCAAACACATTATGGCTACTTGTCTGCTGGTTTTCACAGCTACCATGGTTCTCATACTGCTGGTTTTCAAAGTGTCTAGGGATATTGTGAGAGCAGCCTGGAAATAATGCAAGTTCTAATGCCATACGGCTTGCTCCTTTTACCAAGATTCAGCCATCTTTTCCCTCAACTAATTTTTTTTTCAACGTTTATTTATTTTTGGGACAGAGAGAGACAGAGCATGAACGGGGGAGGGGCAGAGAGAGAGGGAGACACAGAATCGGAAACAGGCTCCAGGCTCTGAGCCATCAGCCCAGAGCCTGACGCGGGGCTCGAACTCACGGACCGCGAGATCGTGACCTGGCTGAAGTCGGACGCTTAACCGACTGAGCCACCCAGGCGCCCCTCTTTTCCCTCAACTAAATGATCCTCAGATTATTGCAAACCTTTGGTTAATGAAAAGGTTGATTTTGGCCATTCTTGCCAGTGTTCTCAATGATTTTATGCATTTTTGGAAGTCCTTAGTCCAAATGTTTCAAATGTGTTCTCCCCATGACTATTTATTAATTCATTAAATTAAATTAAATGAGATATTCAGTTACTCACCCATAGTACCATACTTTCAGTGTTCAACAACAACCTGAGTCTAATAATGACTGTATTTTGATATTTAGGCACAAATGTTTGTATCATTGCAGAAAGTCCTTTTGGACATGACTTCCTTCTAGAAGCAGGGTAGAATTCAAGATACCCTTGTTCATCCCTTTTGCCCTTCCAGGTCTGTCCCCAACAGCAACCACACTGGGGTGGACTCCATCTGTAACTTTTCACCATTGGCTCGGAGACTGGACAGAATTGCCATCTATGAGGAGTTCTTGAGGCTGACCCAAAATGGTACCCAGCTGCAGAATTTTACCCTGGACAGAAACAGTGTCCTTGTGGATGGTAAGGCATCCGGGTCATTGGGGCAGGAGTGGAGGGTTCCAACTTCCACACATGGGGCTCTTCCTGGGAATCTGGAGACCTGGGGTTAAATCAGCATTGAACTTTTTTTAGGCTGGCAGGAAGTGGCATAGTCTCCCAGGCTTTATCCACCATCAAAGGAGAGGAAAGGACACCCGGTGGGATATTGGAGATACTTGCTCTCTCGGAGATAGCTCTGTGACTTCAGGCTGGTCACTTCCCTTCTCTGGAATTCTGTCTCTCATCTCTGTACTGAAGTCACTTGGCGAGACAGTCAGTAAGGGCCTCTGGCTCCAAGCTGTGTGTGAGCCAGCCTTGATGGACATAGGGGATGGACCACTTTTCTTCCTGACAGGCTGTATAAAAACAGGCAATGGACCTGACATGGCCCACGGGGTGTCATTTGCCAAGTTTTGCTCTAGATCAGCACCATGCAGAACTTTATGCAAATATGTGTGCTGTCTAGTACAGTAGACATATGTGACCATTGAGTACTTGAAGTCTGGCTAATGTGACTGGCTTTTACAGTTCCTAAGTTTTAATGTTACCAAGGTACCATATTTTTAATTTTATTTAATTAAAATTATTTTTTTATTTTAGTTAACATACAGTGCAGTATTGGTTTCAGAAGTATAATTCAGTGATTCATCACTTACATACAATATCCAGTCCTCATTACAAGTGCCCTTCTTAATAGCTATTACCCATCTAGCTTATCTCCCAGCCACCTCCCTCCTTCAACCCTCTGTTTGTTCTCTCTCATTAAGAGTCTCTTGTGGTTTGTTGGAAAAAAGAAAAAAAAAGAAAAATTAAAATTATTTTTAAGAAGCCACTTGTAGCTGCTCCATATTGGACAGCACATCTATAAGAAATTGGCTAGGGAGAGGGTGTATACTAGGGGGGCCTGAAACCTGCCCCCATGCCCAGTGGGTACTATGTGTCCCTACCCTCATGGGGTTTATGTTGCAGTTGGCAATAACAAGAATAGGCAATTGAAAATTATAAATTATTTAATGTGAGATAATTCGTACTTGGGAGTGGTAATCAGAGAAGCCTTTCTGGAGGAAATTACACTGCAGGTGAATCCTGGAAAGTGGGTATAAAGCAACTTGGTAAAGGAGAAGGGGGTGAATGTGTTTGTAATTTACAAATTTAGAGAGATCCCTTGGGCTTACCAACTAGGATGCCCCATTCTCCCCCAAACTATCATAAGAGGGCTCAGCCCAATTTCAGTCCTCCTTGTCCAGTGGTATGAATTTGATTTAATTAATTACACCCCTGTAGTGTGATAATAGCCTTGGATTCGGTAGCCTTTTTAGAGAAAAATGGGTCAACATCATAATTCCTACTTCAACATTTCAGTGAAAATGTGAAGCAAGGGTGATGAGCACTGATAATTTATACATTGGATGAAATAATGTTTTAATTGGGTGAAATATACATTGTTAAACCTAGGTGGTATATGTTTGTGATATTCTATGTTTCTGTGCATTTGAACAGTTTTATTTAAAAGGCATAAAACAAACTCACGTGCATTCTCCATTTCATTCACTTCCAGGGTATTCTCCCAACAGAAATGATGTCTTGACTGAGAATTCAGGTAAGCCTCAAAGAAGCTCCAACCCAGATTGGGGAGGGAATGCCTTGATGCTGTACCTGATCAAAGAGACCCATGTACCCAGAGTCATAGATGATGATTAAAGGTGGCCAAGGCGTGTCAGGGACTTTTAGGCACAATGCAGGAACAGCAGGAGCCCTGGGAAATGACAGGAGGAAGCTAACACCAGCCCTTGTCTCCCCAGACCTCCCCTTCTGGGTCATCATCCTCATTTGCTTGGCAGGACTCCTGGTACTCATCACATGCCTGATCTGCTGTTTCCTGGTAAGTAAGGAAGGGTTGCTTGTCTTTTTATCATTGGGTTGTAAGAATTCTTTATATTTTATAAATACATGTCATTTGCTGGGAATATGTTTTGTGATTTTTTTTCTCTCAGTCTGTTTGTGGCTTGCTTTTTCCTTTTTTTTTTTTTTTAATGTTTTTTTATTATTTATTCTTGAGAGAGTTAGAGAGACAGAGCACGAGTGGAGGAGGAGCAGAGAGAGGGAGACACAGAATCTGAAGCAGGCTCCAGAGTCTGAGCTGCCAGCACAGGGCCCGATGTGGGGCTCAAAGTCATGAACCACAGGACCTGACCTGAACCAAAGTTGGACACTTAACCAAATGAGCCACCCAGGCGCCCCAACTTTTTCCTTCTTTAAAACAACATTAGTCATTAGGGAAATGTAAATGAAAGTCATAATGAGGTATTGTGACACACAAGGGTGGCTAAAATTAAAAAGACTGACTATAATAAGTGTTGGTGAAGATGAGGAACAACCTGAACTCTCAAATAGTGAGAAATAGCTTGGATGCATCTTTAAAGGTCACATACACCTACCCAGCCTTTCCACTCCTAGGAATTCATGCAAGAGAAATAATAAAATATCCTTTGGATAAATACCTAGTAGTACAATTGCTGGGTTATAGGGTAGTTCTTTTTTTTTTTTTTTTTTTTTTTTTTTAGTAACCTCCATATTGTTTTCCAGAGTGGCTGCACCAGTTTGCATTCCCACCAGTCATGCAAAAGTGTTCCCCTTTCTCCACATCCTTGCCAACATCTGTTGTTTTCTGAATTGTTAATTTTAGCCACTCTGACAGGTGTGAGATGGTATCTCATTGTGGTTTTGATTTGTATTTCCCTGATGATGAGTAACGTTCAACATCTTTTCATGTGTCTGTTAGCCATCTGGATTTCTTCTTTCAAAAAGTGTCTGTTCATGTCTTTTGCCCATTTCTTCACTGGGTTATTTGTTTTTTGGGGTGTTGTGTTGGTAAGTTCTTTATACATTTTGGTTACTAACCCTTTATCCAATATGTCATTTGCAAATATCTTCTTCTATTCCATTGGTTGCCTTTTAGTTTTGTTGATTATTTCCTTTACTGTGCAGAAAATAATAAACAAAATAAAATAAAATAAAATAAAATAAAATCTATACCAAGTCATGTGCACAAATGTTCATAGTAACTTTTATTTTACTAGCCAAAAACTGAAAACAACCCAGAAGTCCATCAACAGGTGAATAGACAAACAAACCATGATCTATCACCTGATGGAATATTACTCAGCAATAAAAAGGAATGAATTATAAATACATGCACTGACATGCATAAATCTCAAAATAATAATGTGGAGGGAAAGAAGCCAGATAACAATGAATACATAGTTTATGATCCTGTTTATAAGCAAATTGTTGAATGTAAGCTAACCTATAGGGATATCAATCAGATCAGGGGTTGCCTGGGAATGAGAATGTGCTTGCAAATGGCAAGGAAGGAGTGATTACAGAGGGGCTCAAGGACAGTTTTGGGGATGAGGAGCACTCCTTGTCTTGATTGTGGTGATGGTTCAAGTTATAATCAAAACTTATCAAACCATTTGCTCTACATGTATGTGGTTCATTGTACATCAGTTATACCTCAATTAAGCTAGAGGGGGTGTGTGTGGAAGGAGAGGAAGGGAGAGGGGGTGAATGAGTGAGATGGAGAGAGGGAGGGAGAGGGTATGAATGGGATATCAGAGAAAATGGTAGAAAAACAAAGTTAAAGGGAAGAGAGAAGATGAGAAAGAGATAAAAGAGAGACAAAGCAGGGCGCCTGGGTGGCTCAGTCGGTTAAGCTTCCGACTTCGGCTCAGGTCATGATCTTGCGGTCCGTGAGTTTGAGCCCTGTGTCGGGCTCTGTGCTGACCGCTCAGAGCCTGGAGCCTGTTTCGGATTCTGTGTCTCCCTCTCTCTCTGACCCTCCCCCGTTCATGCTCTGTCTCTCTCTGTCTCAAAAATAAATAAATGTTAAAATTTAAAAAAAAAAAGAGAGACAAAGCAGTGGCACCTGAGTGGCTCAGTTGGTTAAGTGTCCAACTCTTGATTTCGGCTCAAGTCATGGTCTCGTGCTTCATGGGTTCCAGCCCCACATCGGGCTCTGTACTGACAGTGAGAGCCTACTTGGGATTCTCTCTCTCCCTCTCTCTCTGCTCCTCCCACTCATTCTCTCTGTCTCTCTCTCTCTCAAAAATAAATAAATGAACTTAAAATTTTTTTTAAAAAAAAGAGGGACAAGGGAAAGGAAAAGAAGGAGTAAGAGAAAATTATGTCGAGAGAGATATAGGAGGCAAGCCTCTGTGGCTTTGGCCATCTCCATCCCCGGAGTCCCATGTAGCGGATCAGACCATTCTCATGCCCTCTCCTTGCCCTTGCAGGTCACCATCCGCCTGCGGAAGAAGGAGGGAGACTACGAGGTTCAGCAACACAGCCTGGGCTATTACCTGCCACACCTAGACCTGAAGTTGCAGTGAGCTCTGCCTGCGGCTCCAAGGGAGCTTGGCTGGAATAGAAATAAACCACATTGGTCGGACACAGCCTCTGAGCCCTTCTTGACTTGGCCCCTAACTAGTTCCCAGGGGACCAAGATGAAAGGTTTCCCCTTTCACTAAGTCCTCAAAGGGCAACTGCAACCCTGTCTTTTGGTTTTATGCCATTTCGTCCCTCAAGGGCACTAGAACTGGTAAAAAAAAAAAAAAAAAAGATTCACAGACATTGTCATTGTATAAAATCAACATCCCACCTCAGTGTGAGGTTTCTCTTCCTAGAAACCTGGGAACACACCTCCCCTTGCCTCTGTGCCAGCCATCACTGCCATCTCTGTTCCTCCATCTTGCCCCACCCCCAAAGTTCCCCTTACACGGCCTCCTTCCCTGAAGCTCGGGTGCACCAGGACTTCCATACCAGTCTACCTCAGGGGCTTCTCTCCCATCATGGGTCCCCCACGATGGGAAATGGTCCAAGAAGGAAATGAACGAGTCATAAATGACTCCATGATCAACTTTGGGACTTAGAGCTGGGATCACTAGGTATCCAGAAAGCCTCAGTCCCCAGAGTAATACCAAGACTGGAGAGAGATACAGGGTCTGCTTTGGATCTAAAGACAAATAAAGCTCATTGGGGAAAAAAATCTAAAGACAAAGCCAGACAGTCTTTCTTCATCCAACCAGATAGAGCAGGGGCTCCCCAGGAAGCAGCCTAGAGTGACCCAGCGTCAGGGAGCTGTACTGTCCTGCCTTGGGTTCATGGGAACAGATGGCCCAATCTCTACACAGTTTGCAGACGATCACGGCTGAAGACACAAGGGCTGAGAAGTAACAGTGATACCACCATTCGTACTTACTTGGTGTGAGGTTCACATCCTCAGTCCCAAGCAGTCTCTGAGAATGTCTTCTCTGGAGATTATAATAATAATAACAAGAGTATCGTTACTGACTACTTAATATCCACTAAGCAACATGACTGGCAAGCTCTGCATGCACGATCTCACTTAAACTCACCATCCTTGACAGCTGCACTCCCATTTTATAGCTAATGATATGGATGCTTGGAAAGACTAAGCAGCGAGGAAGGAAAAAATTACTAAGAACCTAAATTAAACATGTCACCACACTATCTTTCAAAGAAAAAGATAAAAGCACTTTCTGAAATACAGAAAGACTCAACGTTGACCTGCCACAGGCCTTCAGTGATAGAACCAGTAGAGAATGTTCATCAGGAAGCAGAAATGTGACCCCAGAAAAATGTAACAAGAGTCATGAGGAAAGGAGAGAAAATCAGTGTATCTAAGTCAGTTAGTTTTTAATTTTTTAATGTTTATTTTTGAGAGAGAGAGAGAGAGAGAGAGAGACATAGCATGAGTGGGGGAGGGAAAGACAGTGAGGGAGACATGTGAGGGAGAATCTGAAGCAGGCTCCAGGCTCTAAGCTGTCGGCACAGAGCCCGACACAGGTCTCAAACTCACAAACAGCAAGATCATGACCTGGGCCGAAGTCAGATGCTCAACTGACTGAGCCCCCCCCAGGTCCCTGAAGATTCAATCTTAAAATAACTCCTTTTTAGGGAAGATAGAAATACTACAAATATTCTGTTATTTTCTATCAATTCATTCTCAGAAATTGATGAATCCATGAGACAAAAGAAGTAATGATGGAAGGGATTTGAATATTGCCACAGGTTAGTTGGGCAAACAGACAATTAAATCCCCACAAGCAGTGGCTCACTGATAGAGTAAAGATGCTGAGAACAGTCCCTCTTGACATCATGATTCCCAAAATGGCACAATTTTCATGGATCAAATTTTCAACACGTACAGGTATTTAAAAAATGGGAAGTCTCTTATTTCTTCTTTCTGTTGACCTCTGAGTTCACATGCAACAAAGAACAGAAAAATAGAGACCGACAAACATATCTTCTTTGAGAGTATAGATATAACAGCTTTAATGAAATATTATGTTGGAATCTGTTGGAATATTACACAAAATTAACTAGGCAGGTTTTACTCTGTGAGCCCAGAACACTAAATAATCCCGTGACTTTGATAACTCGGTTGACTTGAAAATACAAACAAATGACACAGTAAAGAAAGTAAAGGAAGACAAGAGTACAATACAGAAAGGAAAGATCTCCTTTCTCCCTTCACCGGAAACCCAATCTCACAGCTTAAAAAAAATCACTGTCTCCATTGTGTCACACAATACAATTTAATACAAGGAAAGTATTGGTACATACTTAAGTTTCAGGGGCTCAGAGCACGAAGACACAATGGACACTGCAAAGAGACATTAATAAAGTGCTGTACTGCATTCCATCTGCACAGGGCTCTCCTTTTATTCGTGGTGTTTTTCGAGATGTCCTTCTTGGCCCCTCACTTTTTCTGCCTCGCTAGCGAGTCTGTCTATAGCCAGTGCTGTAGCCAGCCTTTCCCTTGCCGTCTTCACTTTCTTTTCTTGTTTCTTGATATCCTCCTCAGTCACCAGAAATTGTTTGCACGTGAGTTGCGGGATACCCAGACCAGCTTCTGGAATCATCTTGGCCAAATCCGAAGAGCTGGCAAGGATGGGCATGGGGCTCGAGTTCGGGCCACCTGCAAGAACACCTGGCAGATAGCCACCTGTGCACTGAGGTGCGAGTTTTTGCAAGGCTTTGGCAAGGTCCAAAGTGCTTAATGGTTCCCCTGTGCTGCTGCAGGCCTGGAGACCTTGCAGTCTCTTTTGCCAGCACACCTGTTGGGGCTTGTCCAAGGTTCCCTCCCAGTGATGGCATCTGACCTCGTTGCCAGGATGGGCTGTGATTCTGGTAACTGGCGTCTTAAATACATAACTGGACATCCTCAAAGGGATTGAGACACTTAAGCGAGACTTCAGTTTGGATTGGTTTCCACAATCATGTTGCTTCCTCTGTGAAGTCTTGACCATCATACTTCTTTTCCTTTTACCCTATAAAAATAAGTCATGATATTGGATTAAAATGATAAATGAGGACTGCCTTCTTAGGAGCATTCTATTTGGTATCTTGTACATCCACCTTCCTTCTCTACCTTTGGGGATAGGTCTGACTTGTGTCCTGGGACATCATCAAATAGATTTGTGTCAGAACCAGAAAGTTCAAGGTTAAAACTCAGGATCTACTCCAGATCGTTTCTCCTCCATGGTTTTGTAAGATGCTCCCTGTTACGATTTATTCTCACTTGTGCTTGTCACTCTCAACCACACAATTCCTGGTCCTCCCTCTCTGGACACACAGTTGCTTAGTCTTTCTCTAAGTCTCCAGCCCCACCATCCTTCTGTGTTATGTGACTATTCATTTGGTCGCCCATGGACCTCTTTGTTTTCATAGCGCCTTCAGAGCTTAAACCAATAATGAAATTATCATCTGCCCCATTCTTAGCAACTCGCTCCTATATCCCAGACATTTACGTCAACTGAAATGGTCATGACCAAAAATAAATAATTCAGAAAACATATTCACCCACCATAAATTCCTCATTTTCAGTTTTCACTCAAGCACTCATACAATAGTTACCTGTCCCTCAAGATCGGAAGTGATGCCAGATCACCGTATCTTCACCTTACTTTCTCCCCTATCCCTATCACTCCGGGATTCCATGGTCTATGATCTCAATAATTCCCTTGGAATAATCCAGAATTCTTTAACACTTGTCGTATCTGCCTTATAAAACTTCAAATCTGAAAGACCCTGTTCATCTGTTATGCTAGATACTGCTGGTCTTATGATAACTACTGAGAAGAGCACACATATTTTGGTACCACTATAAATCCAAAATCACCTGCCTCCCCTGCGAAGCATCCATAATGTCTGGAAATTTTACTTTATTTTCATGTGTTGGCATTTTTATTCCCTGTTTTTTCACAAGGTTTGTTTCAAACATTCCCTACTTTTCTTTCTGCTTCATACCTATTCAAGATCCCCTAACTTGCCTGATATTTCGATAAGGCTCTTTCTATTCCTTCCCCTTTGTTGTGAGCTGCTGAGAAAAGGCCCTCTACATCATGTGCCTCTGGAGCCTCATCTTCAAGAAACTTCTCAGACTACCCCCACCCTTGTGTGTGCCCTCACCATTCTGTGGGTTTTGCCTTGGTAAGGTCACAATGGCTCCTTTGTTACTAGACCCAGTAGGAACTTTTCAATGTTCATATGACATGATCTTTAAGTGGAAAACTTTTAAGTATGTTTACAGCAACTTACATACGGGACTCCTATTTCACAGTTGTGAGTCATTTACAATGTAAATATAGAGCAGGTACATCCGATAAAACTCAATTTACAAACCAAGGTTGTGTTGTGAGTGGAAAGTGCAAACTGGATTTCTGAGAGCACACAAAAATACATCAACTATCTCTATTAATTTCTACACTGATTGCATGCACAGATGAAAATATCTTGGCGATAATGTTTTAAAATATGCTATTAAGATTAGTTTCACATGTTTATTTTTAGCTTTTTAAAGGTGGCTGCTAAATAAAAATTTCAAGTCCGTAGTAAAGAGTGCTTAGCGGTCCTACTGACAGCACTTATTAAGTCATGTGTAAAAATAAAGCCCAGAGCAACATGTCTGGGAAAAATTTTCCCAAGGAGAGGGGTCTACCTTGACCCCACAGTAAGATGCAGAACACACACACACACACACTCCGAAGCAGACATCAGCCCCAGAATACCACCACTATTTCTCAAATGCCATGAGGTTTCCCTCCCACACAGTCCAAACTGGACTTGATCTCAAGAGAGACGTTGGAAGTTTACATAATTTACCAATTAGGAAGAGCCAAACCAGAGACTTAGCGTCAAGACTTTTTGTGACTTGTCCATCCTTGGCTTCTCTTGTAAATTCAATAGGTTTGGAAATATTTTTCAGGGAGGGTCATTTTTAAAAACACACAGTAAATGTAAATAATAATTACTCTAGCCAATAGTTGAAAATAAGAGGCTAGAATGAGAATATCATTAATATCAAATCACTACTGGGTTTGTGAGTCAGGGAACAGACGAGATTGGATTGACTTGGGCTCATTAGGCT